CCTTGTGCTGCCTGACTTGACATCTTTGTAGTGGGCACTAGCATTCCATCAGTTGCTGAAAGAAAAGGGCAATAGGAAGGTTGAGCTATCCATTACTTCAGTAGGTCAGTTTTTGCACTTTCTTTACATTGACTGATCTTTCTATTTTGCTTTAACTCAGAGGCTCCAGAGCCCAGTGAGTGAGCTGGACAGCTGCCCAGGTGACCTCCCATCAAACCCCAGTCTAACTGGACATGGTAGAAAGCAGACACTAGGCACCATCATGAGAAAGACTGACAGATCTCAGATGGGAAGGGGTTCATTTTATAAGTAATCACAAATTAAAATGTGACAAGTGGCCAGGCACAGTGGCTCGCCCCTGTAATCTCAACACTTTGGGAGGTCAAAGTGGGAGGATCGCCTGAGCCCAGGAGTTTGAGACCAGCCTGGGTAGGATAGCGAGACACCATCTCTACAAAATAATTTTTAAAATTAGCTGGGCATGGTGACCTGCACCTGTAGTCCCAGCTCCTCTGGAGGATGAAGTAGGAGAACTTCTTGTGCCCAAGAGTTCAGGGTTCCAGTGAGCTATGATCGCTCCACTGCACTCCAGCCTGGATGAGAGAGTGAGACTGTCTCTTTAAAAATAAATGAAATAAAATGGAGTAACATTCTGTTTAGAGTATAGATTCTTAACCTCTTTTTATTATAGGTCCCTTTGACAGGCTTGTGAACTATATGAATTCCTTTATAAATTAAAATAAAAATGTAGAATAAAACATAAAATAACAATATAAAATATTCGATTACAAACAAAATCATTGTGGATAAAGAAAATCTGGTACACATAGACCTTGGAGTACTACACAGCCATGGAAAAGAATGAAATCATGTTCTTTAAAGCAACATGGATGGAGCTGAAGGCCATCAACCTAAGCAAAATAACTCAAAAACAGAAAATTAAATGCTGCACGTTCTCATTTATAAGTGGGAGCTAAATAATGGGTACATGTGGATATAAAGATAGAAATAATAGACACTGGGACTCCAAAATAGAGGAGGCTGAGAGTGAAGTGAGGATTGAAAAACTACTTCTTGGGACAACATTCACTATTTGGATGATGGATTCACTGGAAGCCAAACCTCACCATTATGCAGTCTATCCACATAGCAAACCTGCATATATACCCCTGAATCTAAAATTTAGAAAATGAAAGAAATGATTATATTGAAATGTTATCAAAATCTTAATAAACAAATGTAATATAATAATACAGGCACTTCTTTTACTAACTCGTTAAGTAAGATATATTGAAAAGCCTAATAATCACCATAATTATGAATAAAGTCATACATGATATTTAAAAGTACTTGCAATAACTGTCATAAGATACGAAAGTGTCTGGAATTTCTGCTGTGGGCAAAGGCACAGGCACTGCTAGGATTAATGTGGTTTGTTTTGTTACCTCTACTCATCAATAAAACAAATGCTAAATTTCAGTTCAAGGTTAGCAAAAATAAAGATGTAGTTTACAAATACCGCATGTTCTCACTTATAAGTGGGAACTAAACCTTAAGTACACATGGAGACATGTGTACTTGAGGGTGGAGACTGGGAGGAAGGAGAGGATAAAAAAAAAATCTACCAACCAGGTACTAGGCTTATTACCTGACTGATGATGTAATCTGTACCCCAAGCCCCCATGACATGCAATTTACCTATATAACAAATCTGCACATGTTCCCTGAACCTAAAATATTTATATTTTCAAATATAAAAGTTTGAAAAATTTAAAACGATGTAGTTTATTTCCAGATTCATCCCCAGCACACTTGGGGAAGGAGCAGGGCATTCTTACTTTCAACCAAGGAGGTCTTGGCGGGAACTGAAATAGAGCTTGCCCATGTTTCTGGAGAACCCTTTCTTCCGGCTGTGGGTTCTGTGGGAGAAGAGACAGGTAACAAGGATGTCGGGGTCTCATATGGTGTGAAGGTTAATGTCTGTGTTTCAGCTGTTGTTCTCTCTTCTTCTGTAGTGGTCTGGCTTGAGGTTATCTCAGGAGGCTCCTCCTGGGACATATTTAGAGTGGATGTTGGAGAAAGTGTCCGAGCTGAAGTCTGAAGATCCACCAATGTGTTGGGCTGTTTTGCCACGGAGGGCCCAAGAAAGAGTGAAGTCTTTCTGGAGGTGGATGCAGTGGGGGAAAGAAAGCTGGTTTCTTTCTCAGTGGATAGGCTTATGCGAGAGGAACTAGAACCAGACCTTGCTGCTTGACCTGTGCTGAAGAGAGTTGTGAGTTTTGATGCAAGAGGAGTCGATGTCATAGATGATGATGCCGTGCTCAGGTCTGGATAAGACATGCTCTCTGAGGCATATATAGGGTCCCCTGTTCCTGGAGTGGGAACTCTGAGTTCATGTCCTGCCATAGAAGGGGAGGCAGATTTCTCAGGGATTTCAGTAAAACCTGTTGATTGAACTGAGCTTGCACTTATGGCCTTTGTGGAAGTCATCATCCCTGCCCTTGTGTTTTTTTCTGGAGACTTGGACAGTGAGGAAGATGCTGTGCTTGCATCTGAGTCTGGAATGGTGTTCAGGGACTGTCCAGAAGTTGGTAAAGAAGCAGACTTAGTATCCAAACTTGGGACCTCAAAAAACTTAAAGGTCAAGGTGGACTGTGGGATCCTCCAAGTTGTGGGAGCTGTAGTCAGTGATGAAAAGGCCTTTGATGGGCTTGAGGAGGCAGAGACAGGTGTTAGGAGCCCTGACACAGCACTTGTGGGCTTCACAGGTATCCCTTTGGGCACTGTTGATTGAGTAGCTGTCAGTCTGTTCATGGTGATTTCAGACATGGCTGTAACCTCACCTGGGTTCATGGTCAGAGGGAGAGAAGAAAATGTGTTGGCTCCAGTTGAGTGAGTGGACCCACTTCTGACTCCTCCAGAGCTGGCCAAACCCTGGCTTCCTGTGGTTAGTGACATCACAGATGCCCTCTCAAGCCCAGCTGATGAGTTCACCAAAGCTGTTGTCTCTGAGGTGTCAGAACTCTGACCGAATGCAAGGGAACCAGTAATTCCTGCAGGCAAAGTAGAAAGTGCCATGATGGTTGAACCTTCATAGGTTGTGTTCTGTGGAGCAACAATCTTAGAGGGGGAAGTGGAAGAAGGATGGAGTGGACTTTCTGCTACCCCTTGGATAGTGATTCCAGGTATGCTCCTATCTGGGTTACTTACTGTCTTAAGAACCAGTGCATCCCCATTTGAGGTCTCTGACATGGTCAGGGTAGTCTCTGGGACTGTGCCAAGTCTATCCAAATCTATAGTCACCAGTGGGGTAGAATCAAAGGATGTAGCTAATGAACTTGTTGGCTCAGTGGTGGTGAGTGGGATGGCTGGAGTGTCCGGGAGTAAAGTAGGGGAGGAGGCTCCAGAGAGAGTCCCTGTACTTGGAAGTTTAGAAGGTGGTGTGGACACAGTTGAAAACAAGATGGTATCTGTCACTGAAATCTTTGAGGTGAGTGTTGTGTCTGAAGTCTCAGTGACGGCCAAAAGGCTCTCAGGAGTAGCTGAAGTTTCCCAGCTTGCTCCAGAGGTGGTTGTAGTTGGGGTCTGTGATGAAGAATCAATGGTTTTGCTTTCAGTCGTAGTGAGAAGACTGGCTTCTGATGTAGCACTGGATCCAGTGACCACTGTCGCTGAGAGATGGGGAGTGAAGGCAGTGGCTGGTTCAATAGTTGATGCTGGAAGTGAGTGTGTCTCTCCTGCAGGACTTGTCTTGAGAGAGCCCATGGCAGGCAAATCAGTAGTGCTGTCTACACTGGTCCATATACCTGGTGCTGGAACAGAAGTCACCACAGAATTGCTAGAGGTAGGATTTTCTCCGGTGGCAGTGTCAGTGCTGACCATGGTGCTGAAAGTTCCTACTGGTCTAGACCAGGTTAACAGGGCCGAGCTTGTTTTGACAGGATGGGTGATTGTAAAGGGTGGTAAAGTGGATGGCGTGCCACCCACATTGGAGCCTCTATCAAGAGAATAGGTGTTACTGGAAACAGATGGAGAGGTGGCTGTATTTGTCTCTATTGTAGATGTGGGAACCTCGGATCTATCTGAAGAGAAGAGAGATGGAGAGGAACTTGCTGTCCTTCCTGAGATGCTAGTGGGACTGATAGAGGCTGTTTTAGTGACATCCATAGTTGAAGAAGCTATGGAGGTGTTGATCAGATCAGAGGAAGAACTGCTATCTGAGGGGAGCTCATTTGTTGTCTGTGCCTCAAGGATATCTGAGATTTTTACTGTAGTTTCATTATCCAGTGAAACTGTGCTGGTCTCTGTGAAACTAACAGTGAGAACTATGGGGGAAGTGGTTGGAGCAGCAGAGGTGATTGTCATTCTCTCTCCCAGTGTAATGGAAGAACTGGCTTCTGTGGGCTTTGTGGACACAGCTGAACCGGTCCAATCCCCAGGAGTAGGTGTCACTCTTGAAGTCAACTCAGGAGTGAGAGATGAAATGGTTCTAAATGAATGAGTTGTCTTTTCTGGGAAATGTGAGATAGTTGTCACTTCATTATCAGGGGAGGGGGAAAAGGAGACAGTGGGAATACTTTCAGCCCCATCTGAAGGTATGTCAATTACATCTGATGCTACTGTGGACAAGCCAGGTGAACCTGCACTGTTTACTGGGAAGCTTGTTTCTGTATTAATAGTTGGATGGGACCCCAAAGGGATTGACACTGTCCGTGGATCCTTGTTCATTCTAAAGGAAACCAAAGACTCTGAAGTGGGCAGGGATATTGTCCTAGTTAATTTGGTCCCTCCTGAAGAGGCTGTGCCTAAACTCAGGTTAGCAGTACTCTCAGACATAAGGCCAGAAACATCTGATCTGGAAGTTACGGTCATTGGAAGAAGGACTTCAGAGCTGATAGTTGCCCCCACAGAAGTCTCAGAAAGACCTGTGCCTGAGGATGCATCAGTGTTCAAAGTACTCGGGGCTGTATTCTCGGGGCCATAGGTCTCTGTTTCTGGATTTGTTTGCTGAGCAGCAGATGTGGATGCAGCTGAAAAGAGTGGAAATTCAGTCGTAGTTGAACTTGGGTTTGAAACCCCCGAATGAGCTGAGGACAATGCCTCAGATAAAGTAGTACTGATTGTGGAATCCAAGGATTCAAGTGAGGCTAAGGAATATGGAACGGACGTGCTGCTTCCAGAAGAGACTGAGTTCTCATGGGTAGGGGAAGCAGACACTGCCACAGCATTGACATATGGAGTTGCCTGTGTCTGCCCAGAAACGTTTTCTGAAGAAACTGCATGTAGTGGTTGAGTGAACTGTTCAATTGTGCCTGTACTGGTCCATGCAATTGTTGGTGGGGTGATGGGAGAATGTGTCATGGGTGCTGAGCTGATGTCTAGTCCTGAGGTTATGCCTGTAGAAATGACTTCCTCCACTGGAATGGATGAAAAAGGCAATGTTAAGCTTGTGGCCTTGTTTCCAGGAGTGGAAGTCAAAGTGGTCTCTGCTTCAGGAGCTGAGGTCTCAGGTTGGGAACGTATTGAAGAAGGCACTTCACTCTTCTCTGTGTAAATCATGGATGTGTGAGTGCTGGTTCCCACAGACAGGGACTCAGAAGAGGTGCTGGAGCTGTTTTCCAATCTGAAGGCTCTAGTGACACCAGTATCCAATGGCCTGTCAGTGACCAAAGTCCCTGTAGAGCTGGTGTGCACCCCATGGCTGAGGTCAGGTGAATCTGTGGTCTTGGGGGTGTTACTGAGAGTGAGAGAACTCCATGGTGTCACTTCCATTGATGGAGTTGGAGATGGAAGATCCATAGAGGCAGTTCTGAGTTTTTTTGTATGTTCAGTGCTTCCCAAAGCTGTGGACATAAGGGTAGCTGAGCTGGACTCTGTCCTTGATGAAGACTTGGAGATGTCTGAGGTCATAACTGTGGTGACCTCCTTGGTCCAAAATGTACTGCCCCCTATGAATTCCACATCAGGAGTTGGAGGAGATGAGGGTAGAGGGATGCTTGTGCTCATCTGGCTTCCTTCAGCAGAGTTGGGTTCAAGAGAGGAGGAGGGAGCTGTATTTCCCTGTGTGTTCAGCCTTGGACTGCTTCCCTTACTAGAATCTGTGACTCCTTCAGTAGTTGACTCAGAAAGGACAGAGGAAACTCTTCCTAATGACTGGTTGATGCTTCCTCCTGGAGCACTAGTAACTAGGAGTCCCACAGTCCCAGCCATGGAGACAGAGGCTGTAGAACTTCCTCTTTCCAGTGCTATGTTTGTGGATGTCTCAGCTGGGGATGATGTTCCTATGGGAAGGTGGGCTGTGCCCAGGGTGACTCCACTACTACTGCTCCCTGTTGTGTTGTCCATGGGTGGAGTGGATTGAACGTTTGTTGGGCCAGTCTCAATCTCTCTGGAGAGTGTCTCTGTAGATGGTTTCCAAAAAGTGGTTGCCTCAGAGGAGCTTCTCCCTTGTGTCCTGAGCTCAGGGTAGACTTCAGTAAGATGGGGAGGGGATGCTGAGGCTGGTAAAGATGTTTGATCTTTGAGTGATTGTGTCACATGAGTAGGACTCATCGTTGCAGAACGGGTGTCCTGTGCTTGTGTTGAGTGTTCAATCACACTGGTCCACATGGTTGACAGTGGGGTGATAGGAACAGTTGTTAAGTCCCCAGTTGCGCCCAAACTCCTGATTCCTAGGTGCTGATCCCATGTGGTTGAATCTGTATTTCCAATGGCACTGGTATCTGCCTCTGACTTTGAAAGTTCATGAGAAGGTGTGGACATAGGTGGAAAAATAGCAAATGTACTCATGAACGAACTTGGACTTGAAATATCAAGGTCTGTTGAAGGCATTTCCTCTGTCAAACTGGTATTCAGCCATGTTGCCATGGGGAGAGTGATTGTGGTCTGCTCACTGGTAGTGAGGACCACGGGTTCCCCTGGGACATCAGAAGTCAGTTCCAATGTGCTGCTTCCAGTGGTAGGGGAGGTAGGGACTACAGAGACAGGTCCTGGAGTTGACTGTGTCTCAAATCCAGATGGTTTTTCTGCCAAATTTGTGTAATGTAATTGAGTGGAGTGTTCAGTTGTGTCTGTGATGGTCCATGCTTTTGTGATCAGACTGGTGAGATCGGGTGAACTTGAGATTTTAGGACTTCCAGAGTAAGCAGCTGGGGTGGTGGACGCTGTCTTTGGATGGTTTTCTGTGGTTCTGAGTGCCCTCACTGAGTAGGGTGTAGAGACCTGAGCTGAACTTGTATCCTTAGGATCCGTAGTGGTGATGTAGGTGGTGGGGGCCCAGGTACTACCAGTGTTAGTCTCTCCAGGAGCTGTCATCTCAGGTGAAGACCCAGAAGAGTAAGCAATTTCATTTGTCTCCATTCTGGCTGTTGATACATGAATGTGGGTTTCTATTGAGGGGAAGGCGAGAGGTGTGTAAGAGCCAGTTTCTACTACTGAAGTCATGGTAAGGTTGATGGTGCTTGGACTTTCTGAACTAGCGTGTGTTCCGAGGCGGATGCTGGGTGTGTTTGCTGATTCAGGGTAGGTGCTCAGGGTCGGAAGTCCCCCTTCTGATGCCTCCACTGATGTGGCTGGAGATGGAGTGTCCAAGGGAACCAGGGTGCTTTTTCCTATGGCACCACTTGTTGGAATATTACTTGGTGTCGAGGAAGTCATGGAAGGTAAGTTGGGTGTGTTCCGTTCACTAGTTTCAACTGTGTCCATTGTCATGCTTGGGGTGACTCTCTGGGTTGAAAATGTGGAGCTCGTTGTGACTTTGGGAGTAGGAGAAGAAGATGAGGACAAGATGCCAAGCCAGGTGCTTCTAGCAGAACCAGGCTCAGGAGATGAAGGGTGAGTTGCAGTCATTTGTGGAGTCAGAGCTGAACTGGCTCCACCTCTAGGCATTGGAATTTCTCCAGATGTTAAATGATAGACATCATCAGAAAATGTGCCAAGCAATTGGCTTGTCGTTCCTGGAGTGCTTGAGCCAACAGCATCCATGGACTGAGATGGAGATACTGACATTGAGACACTTTCTTTGGCCATGGTAAAATCTGTAGATGTCTCAGAGGAAGTTGAGGTTCCAATGGACAGATGAGTTGTGTCCAATGTTCCTTCAGTAACGTAGCCCTTTCCAATTGGGATGTTGGTAGAAGCCATAGCCACAGTGCCTGGGCCATTCGTGGTCTCTGTTGTGAGGATGGTTGTTGATGGTTCCCTGATAGAAGTTGCTTCTGTGGAACCAGTTGCTGGAGAAGTGAATTTAGAGACCACTACAGTAGCAGCGAGAGAAGTGGCAGAAGTTGAAACAGTGGTTGTTGCTGAAGGTAACCCCGTCTTGAATCTGGGACTAGTCTCTGGCCAAGTTGTGCTTTGGGGTGCAGCAGAGTCATTAAACGTGCCTGTATTGGTCTGTGACATTGCTGCTGTCCCAGAGAGGTGAGATATTTTAGGAAGAGCTGAGCTGGTTGAGTTTGTAGCTGAGGTACTGCTCGTGGCTCTGAGCTCACTCACTAGGTGGGATGAAGAGAACTGAGTTGAACGTGTAGTCCAGGTGTCCATGGTGGGGAATACTTGGGTGGGGACAGAGGTGCTGGCCAAGGTGGTCCTTACTCTGGAAACAGAAGTCTCAGGTTGAGATACAGATGGATTCAAAGTTTCCTCTGTTTCTTCTGCACCGGTAAATAGATGAGTGGAAGGAGTAGATGAAGAAAATGTGGTTTTCACTCCAGAGACACTTGGGAGGCTGAGAGTGCTAGGACTCTCTGACCATTCTGAAGCCAGTGTCCCAATTGGGTGGATGCTAGGTGAGTCTGTAGTCTCAGCAGAGGTGCTGAGGGTGAGGACACTCCCTGCTGTCCCTTTCCCTGATGCAGATGGATAAGTCAGAGGGGAAGTTGCATTTCTGACTCTTTCAGGACTTGTTGCTGCATTACTTAGGGTCATGGAGAAAAGAATGGCTGAGCTGGGCTTTGTCTTTGTTGAGATTTCAGGAGTCCCTGTGGTCATAGATGAGGTGACTCTGTGGTGTGAGAATGTGCTGGTCGCTGACACTGTATCCTCAAGAACTGAAGCAGATGACAACAGAGGAACGCTGGTGCTTATCTTGGTAGGTCCTGCAGAGTCTGGTTCAGGGGAAGAGGAGGGATGTCTAGTGTTTAATGGAGTCAGTCCCAGGCTGGTTCCTTCCCTAGAAGCTGGGGACTCTAGAGATGACGTCTCAGGGATGACAGAAGAAACCATTGTATATGATGGATTTGTCCCTCCTGGAGGACTTGAGCCAGCAGCCATCTTGCTAACTGCTGGAGTCATGGAGATTGGGACACCGTTCATGGCCAGAGTCAAATCTGTGGATGTCTCAGATAATGCTGTGGCTCTTTTGAGTGGGTGAGTTGTGCCCTGCCTTCCCCTTGTGATGCTGCCTCCTGTCATTGAAATCCCAGTGGGAACAGTAAACTGATAGGTGTTTGGGCCAGTTGTGGATTCTCCGATGAGTGTGTCTGCAGATGTTTCTTTAAGCCAAATCCCTTTAGTGGAGCTGGTCTTCAGGGTGGTGAAGCCAGACACCACTGAGGGAACAGGAGAAGTGGTGGCACGGGCTGCCACACTGGTTGATGCTGGGGGTCTGTCTGTTTTCATGCTAGGACTTGTCTCCACCCACTGTGTGTGCTGGGGTTCACTAAATTGCTGAGCTGTGCTTTCACTGGTCCATGATGACGCTGTTGAGGTGCTGGAAGTGGTTGCCTTCAGGATGTCAGAGCTCCTGTGGGCAGCTCTACTGGAACTCTGCCTCCCAGAGGTGCTGCCTGCGGTTCTGAGCTCTCTTGTTGGGTGTGATGAAGAGACCTGAGATGGACTACTAATCTTGCTGTAAAGAGTAGTAAAACCTGGGGTGGGGACCAAGGTGGCAGTCATTTCGGTCTCTTCTCCAGGAGCAGAGGTCTCAAGTGGAGTCATGGATGTATTCAAAGTTCCTTCTGTTTCCTTTCTACTCATGGAGTGATGGGTGTTGGTCTCCTCTGAGACTGAAGTGGTAGATGGAGATGTGGTTGTCAACGCTGAAGTGCTGGTGCCACTGAGGGTACCTGGACTCCCTGACCATTCTGAAGCCAAAGTCTTGGCTATGTGGGTGCCAGGTGTATCCGTGGTCTCAGCGAAGGCACGGAAGGTAAGGATAGTCTCTGTTGTCTGCTCTGTGGATGTAGATGGAGTCCCCAGAGAGGAAATTGTACTTCTGACCTTTTCAGCACTTGTGTCTACATTGCTTAGTGTCATGGAAAAAGGGATAGCTGAGTTGGGCATTGTGCTGACTCTGGCCTCGGGCACCCCAGGAGATAGAGGGGAAGTGATACTCTGGCCTGAGAATATGCCGGTCTCTGATATTTTATTATCGAGAACTGAAGCAGATGATGACAAAGACGCACTGGTACTTATTCTGCTGTGTCCTGTGGAGCCAGGTTCAGGAGAAGAGAAGGGATATCCAGTGGTTGATGGAGTCAGTTCCAGGCTTGTTCCACCTCTGGAATTTGGGGTCCCTCTAGGCGATAAGTCAAGGAAGGAAGAATAAACTGTCCCAAAGGATGGGGTTGTCTTTCCTGGAGTATGTGAGTCAGTAACTGTGGACTCAGCTGGAGTCATAGACACCGGGACATTTTCCTTGGATGCAGTTGAATCTGCAAATGTTTTCATTGGAGATGTGATTTTTGCAGGGATATATCTTGTGCCCCAGGGGTTCCCTGTGCTGTCACCTTTGGTTGTTGAGGTCTCAGTGGGGACTGTGTACTCAGTGACTGGGCCACTTGTGGTCTCTACAGCGAGTGTGTAGGTAGATGATTCTTTGGTAAAATTTCCTTCTGTGGAACTGGTCCTGGTCCTTGGGGAACTCAATCCTGAAACCACGCTTGTAGCAGGAGAGTTCCTAGAGGGAGTTCCATTGACCTGGGGACTCAGCGATGAGCTGGTTCTTTGCTCGGAGTGTGTAATTCCTCTAGAGGTTGACTCAGGGAGAGCAGAGGACATCGCCCCCAGAGACCGGGTGGTTCTTCCCACAACCGAAGACGCAGGACTGGCCAAGGTCTTAGCTGGGGAAGTAAAGGGCAGAGTATGTTCCGTCACTATGATTGCACCTGTAGATGTCTTATGTGACAAGGTGGCTCCTGTCAGTCCTGAATCCATTTCCGGTGTGGCTTTACTGCTCCTGTTCCCTGTCATCAAGGAGTGGGTGAGAGAAGATGACCCAGGAAGGCCTGTGGGTTTCAGCATGGACAGGCCAACATTTGCCTCTGGATGGAAGTCTAAGAACAATCCCCTCAGAGAGGGTGGCCTCTGCAGAGCTTCTGAGCTCCCGGAACCTCCCAAATTTCTCAGGGTGGGAGATATGGCTGGGGTCCCTGCATTTCTCCCGAGAAAACCTGTGTCTAGAAGAGCTGCCATATGTATGGGAGTTGGGGGAATTGTGCAACCCTTCTGATTAAGAAGACCAAATCTCAAGGAGAGAAAGGAAAGGATGGTGCAACTACAGACAATTTCCTCAAATAAACACTGACGATCTCAATTCTTCCCTACAAACTTTTTAACAGATTCTTACTGTCTGCAGGATAGAATGCCTCAGTGTATCATGTCTTAATGATCCTCTCTCTCTCTGAGTGTGTGTGTGTGTGTGTGTGTGTGTGTGTGTGTGTGATGTCTTAGAAACCAGGAACCAGGCCGGGCACGGTGGCTCACACCTGTAATACTAGCACTCTGGGAGGCCAAGGCAAGAGGATCACCTGAGGTTGGGAGTTTGAGACCAGCCTCCTGACTAACATGGAAACTCCGTCTCTACTAAAAATGCAAAATTATTTTTAATTTTTTAAAACTAAGTAAAAATTATTTTTTAAATAAAAATAAATATTGAGTGTGGTGGCGTGTGTCTGTAATCCCAGCTACTTGGGAGGCTGAGGCAGGAGAAACGCTTGACCCTGGGAGGCAGAGGTTGCAGCAAGTCGAGATGACACCACTGCACTCCAGCCTGGGCAATAAGAGCTCTGTCTAGGAAGGAAGGAAGGAAAGAAGGAAGGAAGGAAGAAAGGAAGGAAGGAGGAAGGAAGGAAGGAAGGAAGGAAGGAAGGAAGGAAGGGAGAGAGAAAGGAAGAAAGAGGGAGGGAGGGAAGACAGAGAGAAAAAAGAAAGGAAGGAAGGAGGGAAGGAAGGAAGGAAGAAAGAAAGAGAAAGAAAGAGAGGGAGAGAGGGAAGGAAGGAAGAGAGAGAGAAAGAAAGGAAGGGAGGAAGGAAGGAAAGAAGAAAGAAAGAGGGGAGGAGGGAGGGAGGGAAGGAAGAAAGGGAGAGAGAGAGAGAGGAAGGAAGGAAGGAAGGAAGGAAAGAAGGAAGGAAGGAAGGAAGGGAGGGAGGGAGGGAGGGAAAGAAAAAGAAAGAAAAAAAGCAAGAAAGATGCAGATAGAACCCCTACCTACACCCCCATGAGATGGAGTTAACCCTCGGTGTGTGGAACTGGCAGATACTAAGGCTCTTGAATTGAGAAGTAGAGGTCAGAGAACACACGGCACTTCTGTTCAGATCAGAGCAGGGGCCCTCAGATGCATGCTCAGAAATCAGTGGAAGTTGCTCTTGATTAAAAATCTCACGACCCTGGCCAGTCGAGCGAGGTGGCTCACGCCTGTAATCCCAGCACTTTGGGAGGCCAAGGTGGGCGGATCACGAGGTCAAGAGATGGAGACCATCCTGGCTAACACGGTGAAACCCCATCTCTACTACAAATACAAAAAAATTAGCCGGGTGTGGTGGAGTGTGCCTGTAATCCCAGCTACTCAGGAGGCTGAGGCAGGAGAATTGCTTGAACGTGGGAGGTGGAGGTTTCAGTGAGCCAAGATCATCACACCACTGCACTTCAGCCTGGGTGACAGAGCAAGACTCTGTCTCAAAAAAAAAGAAAATAATAATAAATAAATAAATAAATAAAATCTCATGACCCAGAGGGTGAAGAGGATGTTGAATCATGTAAAGTTCTATTGATGGTAATTTAGGACAGAAGAGGCAAAAAAAAAAAAAAAAAAAAAAAATTGTCCTGGAAGCTCACTATCTCTAGTTGTTTTTATTGAGGGAAAAGTGCAGGGAAGATTTTTCACTTTGGGTTAGCCAGGCTGGTCTCAAACACCCGACCTCAGGTGATCCACCTGCCTCAGCCTCCCAAAGTGCTGGCATTAGAGGTATGAGCCACTGCACGTGGCTGAGTTAACAGAATTATTTTTAGAGAGTTAACAATATTTTTAAAGTAAAGTTAACAATATTTAAACACTATGATATGAAGTTAATACGTTGTTTTTAGGGATGGGGTCTTGCTCTGTTGCCCAGGCTAGAGTGCAGTGGTGCGATCCTAGCTCACCGTAGCCTCAAACTCCTGGGCTCAAGTGATCCTTTTGCCTCAGCCTCTCAAGTAGCTGGGACTACAGGTGGGTGCCACTATGCCCAGTGAATTTTTTTTAATTTTGAGTAGAGATGAGGTCTCACTATGTTGTCCAGACTGGTCTCGAACTCCTGGCCTCAAGTGATCCTTCTGCCTCAGCCTCCCAAAGTACTGGGATTACAGGCACTAGCCACCACACACCACACACAGCCAGAGTTAGGATTTATTATTTTATTTTATTTTATTTTATTTTATTTTATTTTATTTTATTTTATTTATTTGACATGGAGTCTTTTTCTGTCACCCAGGCAGGAGTGCAGTGGCATGATCTCAGCTCACTGCAACCTCCGCCTCCTGGGTTCAAGTAATTCTCCTGCCTTAGCCTCCCAAGTAGCTGGGATTACAGGCACGCACCACCACAAGCGGCTAATTTTTTTTTTGAAACAGAGTCTCACTCTGTCACCCAGGCTGGAGTGTGGTGGTGCGATCTCGGCTCACTGCAAGCTCCACCTCCTGGGTTCACGTCATTCTCCTGCCTCAGCCTCCCGAGTAGCTGGGACTACAGGTGCCTGCCACCACACCCAGCTAATTTTTTTTTTTTTTTTTTAGTTACGGGGCCTCTATCTCCTGCCCTCGTGATCCGCCCGCCTCGGCCTCCCAAAGTGCTGGGATTACAGGTGTGAGCCACCGCGCCTGGCCTAATTTTTGTATTTTTAATATAGACGGGGCTTCACCACGTTGGCCAGGCTGGTCTCGAACTCCTGACCTCAGGTGATCGCCTGCCTCAGCCTCCCAAAGTGCTGGGGTGACAGGCCTGAGCCACTGCGCTAGGCCCAGAGTTAGGATTTAACATTAGTAGTCTTTATAGATGCTGCACCACACGAGGGAGACACAAGTGCCCCCTGCTGACCAATCCTTTTAGTTTATCTTCTTGTATATATCAGATTTAGTTATTATTTACGTAGCTAAAAGAATCTCGGTCTATTTGGTTACTTCGGTCACCTAATACTTGAACTATTTGGAAATAGAAAAGGACGTTTCCTGTTTCTTTAGAGGCATTCCAAAGGTTCTACAGACAGTGATATTTCACGACCTAGTCGTAGCCTTGTCCATATCAAGTAGTTCAGGTGATTTCTTACCTTGGGTCCTCACACATTCTTAGTGCTTAGCTGAATCTTCTATTTTTGAAACAGGGTCTTGCTCTGTCACTCAGGCTTGAGGGCAGTGGTGTGATCATAGCTTACTGCAGCCCCAATCTCTTGGGCTCAAGCAATCCTCCCATCTCGGCCTCCTGAGTAGCTGGAACTACAGGCATGCACCACCATGCCTGGCTAATTTTTCTTTTTTCACTATAGAGATGCAGTCTTGCTATGTTGCCTAAAGCGGTCGCGAACTCCTGAGCTCAAGCAATCCTCCCTCCTCGGCTTCCCAAAGTGTTGAGATTACAGGCATCAGCCAGCACGCCTGACCTCAGCTAAATCTTTTCTACCTTTGAAAATTCTACAGTACCCAATGTTTCCTAGAATTTAGGTGGCAAGCTGTATCATAGGGAGATCTCGTGCAGGAGGGGAAAAGGGTGAAGGCATGACACATTGCTGAACAAGACTAGTAGTAATACTTAGGGGAGTCTTGAAATTTATGGCTGGGGCCGGTGCTCCACACTGGCAACCGACTTTGGGGAGGCCGAGTGGTGGAGTCACCTGAGTCGGGAGTTCAGGAGAGGGTGGGAGCGAGACAGTGGAGAACCCCCATCTTATAAAAATAGAATTCGCTGGATTGTGCCGGGCGCATGCTGCAGCCGTACTTGGGAGCTGAGCTAGGGAGAATTGCTTGAGACCCGTGGGGAGGCGAGTTTGTTGTGAGCGAGATCGGAGCCATTGCACGTGAGCCTGCGCAGAAGCAGGTGGAAACTCCTCTAGAGAAGAAAATAAAAAGAATGAAGAAGGAATTTGGAAAGCACATTCCAAAGGCAGGTAGCCTAGGATGCTTTTCCAGGGGACTGAAAGGCAATATCATGGAAGATGGTTTAAGTGAGCTGAAAGGAGCTGACTGCTGGCGAGAGCAGAGAAATCGGAGTACTTTGCTGTCAGATCGAGCACAGCTGGAGATGTCTCTGCCCCAGTTCCTGTGGGTAGGTGGGCCCTGTATGTGTGGAGTCAGGGTTGGTGTTTCTCTAGTTTGAGGAACTGAATGGAGAGAGGAAGGACTATGCTCCCCATTGCCCCTCCCCAGCCCTTGGCACCCATTATCCTGCTTTCTGTCTTTACGAATATGATGACTCTAGGAACCTTACATAGTGGGATCATACAGTATGTGTCTTTTGGTGACTGTCTTATTTCACTTAGCACACTGTCCTCAAGGTTCACTCACACTGTAGCATGTGTCACAACATCCTTCCTTTTTAAGGCTGAATCATATTCCATTGTGGGGGCCAGGTGCGGTGGCTCACGCCTGCAATCCCAGCACTTTGGGAGGCCAAGGCAGGCGGATCACTTGAGTTATTCATGCTTTACTGGTCATTATACGAAAATAATAGATAGACTCTAGGACCTTACATAGTTCGGAATCATAAACCACGTAAAAGTGTACATTTACTTTGGGTGACTGTCTATAATTTCACTTAAGCACACATAGTACAACTCAAAGGTTCAACAATCACTGTAAGACATCGATGTCCAAAAGAACGATTCTTCCTTCTTTTAGACAGCTGATCAATATTCCTTGTGGGGCCAGAGTGAACAACGGTCGAGCTCACGCACTGCATCCACGCACCTTATGGGAAGGCAGCGCCGAGCGGATCAAATTTGGATACAGGAAGTAATCAAAACCAGCACTGGCCAACATGGTGAAAGCCCAAATTAGCTGGGCACAGTGGTCATGCCTGTAATCCAGCATTTTGGGGGCCAGGTGGGCGCGGATCCCCTGAGGTCAGGAGTTCAAGACCAGCCTGGTCAACATAGTGAAACTTTGTCCTCTACAAAAATACAAAAATTAGCTGAGCAATGGTGGCAGACACCTGTAACCCCATCTACTTGGAAGGCTGAGACAGGAGGAATTGCTTGAACC